GAGAGGTTTTAGCTATAGGGCGCGTGCGCTCGCCAGACAGAGACAGAGAGACAGAAAGCGAGAAATCACCCCCCCAGGGGGGATGGCTACGCCGCAATCCCTTCTCCATTCTCCTCTCGGGATCTTGGGCACGCATGCACACGCGCCCGGCGTGAGTTTTAAGCCACCAGGTCCGGGATGCGAACCACGGTCGACTACGTGGGAGTCCAGCGACATAGCTGTTATGCTAACTGCTGGTTCCCTCTATGGTCATATTTTTAAAAAAATAAATGAATGAGTTAAATAAAATTAAATAAAACTTTAAAAAAAAGGCAAAGTTATTTGGAAAACTAAGAGTGGCACAAAGTGTTTCAGTGTGAAACAACTTTTACGGTACATGGTTAGGTGAGACAGTTGCCAGGTCCATGAGACAAAGTGAGTGTGACTGGATTAAGACACAGGGTACCTCATGGTTCAGGCTGGGATGCTAATTTCCATTGTCATTCAGGGACTGTCTGGTTGGCTCCACAGTCGCTGTCCTTATTTGAATGTCAGCGAGGTTTGTGGGGTTGCACAGGGCTAGCAAGTGCCTGCAGCGTTGAAAGCCATGCGGCCACCTGTAGGGAAGTCCCGCAGCAGCTCTGCCAGAAAACACACTTGCAGCGTGGGTACCTAGGCTCTGGGTTGCTGGAGGGCTGAGGAAAGGGGGCCATGGGGTGATGAGACATGCTGAGGGTTCTTCCACATACACAGGCACGTGTTAGAGATGCTAGAACACAGCCAGATTTACAGATCACACCGTAGGACGGAAGCCGTTTCCTCGTGAGAGACCCGCAGGTTGCACGTGTAACTCCCGGTTTTCCTCTGACTCAGACCGATCGTATAGCACGTTCGTTCAAGTCACAAAAACTCCGGGACATCTGCTTTCTCACTTTCCTTCTCTGTGTGTCCGTCTGTCTCTGGTCAAAGGAAAATGAATGAATGAATAAATGAAATTAAATAAATAAGGAAAATAGTCCTCTCGGGATCTTGGGCACGCATGCACACGCGCCCGGCGTGAGTTTTAAGCCACCAGGTCCGGGATGCGAACCACGGTCGACTACGTGGGAGTCCAGCGACATAGCTGTTATGCTAACTGCTGGTTCCCTCTATGGTCATATTTTTAAAAAAATAAATGAATGAGTTAAATAAAATTAAATAAAACTTTAAAAAAAAGGCAAAGTTATTTGGAAAACTAAGAGTGGCACAAAGTGTTTCAGTGTGAAACAACTTTTACGGTACATGGTTAGGTGAGACAGTTGCCAGGTCCATGAGACAAAGTGAGTGTGACTGGATTAAGACACAGGGTACCTCATGGTTCAGGCTGGGATGCTAATTTCCATTGTCATTCAGGGACTGTCTGGTTGGCTCCACAGTCGCTGTCCTTATTTGAATGTCAGCGAGGTTTGTGGGGTTGCACAGGGCTAGCAAGTGCCTGCAGCGTTGAAAGCCATGCGGCCACCTGTAGGGAAGTCCCGCAGCAGCTCTGCCAGAAAACACACTTGCAGCGTGGGTACCTAGGCTCTGGGTTGCTGGAGGGCTGAGGAAAGGGGGCCATGGGGTGATGAGACATGCTGAGGGTTCTTCCACATACACAGGCACGTGTTAGAGATGCTAGAACACAGCCAGATTTACAGATCACACCGTAGGACGGAAGCCGTTTCCTCGTGAGAGACCCGCAGGTTGCACGTGTAACTCCCGGTTTTCCTCTGACTCAGACCGATCGTATAGCACGTTCGTTCAAGTCACAAAAACTCCGGGACATCTGCTTTCTCACTTTCCTTCTCTGTGTGTCCGTCTGTCTCTGGTCAAAGGAAAATGAATGAATGAATAAATGAAATTAAATAAATAAGGAAAATAGATGAATGAATAAATAAAATAATTCTTTAAGAAATAAAACGAACCCTGGGACATCTGAACTGGTTATGTGGCCGTGAGCTTTGCACATTTAGAGAACTTCATTACTAGAGGAAATGACATGTACAAGAGGGTGGAGGTAAGGGGGAGAGGGGTGTAGGTAGTGTTTTTTTAAACCTTATTTATTTACTTAATTTGACCAGAGAGGGACAGTGAGAGTAGCAAAACGAGAATGCAAGCTGCCAGGTCCAGGACTTGAACCGTGGTTGGAGTCTAGGGCACTTTACCACCATACCACCTGCTGGCCTCCCTATAAGTTCTTTATTTGAAAATTTTTATTTTTCAGGTTTTTTTTTTTTTTTTTTTTTTTTTTTTTTTGCCGTAGGGCGCATATAGAAATCACCTCTTGCTGGGGTGGGGGGGCGGTGGCCACGTCTCAATCCATTTCCCTCAGTGCTGGGGTTCGGGGCACACATATACGTGCTCCACGCGTGGTTTTCAGGCCCTCAGGTCCGGGACTCGGATAGCGTTTACTGTTTTTAAAGTTTGTTCCTAGAGAGAGGCCGAGACGGCACCCCCAAGAGGATCGGATGCCATAACTGGCCCATAACCTTCCGCCGGCTTCAGATCACGGGGAGCACACACTGCCTTAGCGGGGCCCCGGACCTGAGCTGGGAGCACCCCCCTGGGGTTGCCTCACGGAGCACCACAGCCCCTTCTTGCCGCTGGTTAGCCCCAGTTGGCTCGTTTGTTGCTGTTGCTATAGGGCCACAAGCTCCCCAGAGAGAAAGGGGGAAAATGAGAAGTCAGGCCTGGGGGCGTGGCCACGCGCAATCCTGGCTCCTCCTCCTCTGGATTTTGGATGTGCGCACAACCGCAGTGGGCGTGACTTCGAAGCCAAGGGTCTGGGACTCAGACCATTGTCTTGGCCACGTGGGTCCTGCTGCTTTATTCTGCATGTACCCTGATGGCCTCCCAGTTACATTTTTAAAAATACTACTAGAAAGAAAGGTCCGAGAACCATTTACTTGGGTATTTAGTTGAACAGTTGGTGTCAGTGGGAAAGTGTATTGGCGTGTGATAAGCTGTCAACTGAAAAGAATACTTTTGTGTTTTTAGGTCTTACACACCTGTAAGTAGACCTCTTTGGAGCTCTGCCAGCCAAATCAATGGCGTCTTCTACTACTGTGCCTCTAGGATTTCATTATGAAACGAAGTATGTGGTTCTCAGCTACTTGGGACTCCTCTCTCAGGAGAAGTTGCAAGAGCAACACCCTTCCTCACCCCAAGGTATTATCTTTGGCTTATGGTGGTTATGTTAAGTTGTAATAAGGACTTCATTTATAAAAGTGTATGCATCTAAGTAACTTATATAAATGGTTCTAAGATCAGTAATAGCAATAACTTTATAGAGTATCGCCTTACCTCATCCCTTTGGCGTCTTGTTCCATTCCCAGAAGAAACGACTTCTCTTTAGGGTTTTTTTTTTTTTTCAATGAAAGGCAGACAGACAGTCAAGACCAGCATCCTCAACGGTCTTGCCATGCTGCAGTCCTTCCCCAGCCTCCTGGCCAGCCAGGATCACAGGCACACGTAGGCACTCCTACATATGATTCGTTATCCAGCCCCGGGCCCACCACACCGCTCCAGCACTCGCCTCGGCTCCAGCACAGCCATGGCTGACCCCAAAGCAGTTACTTTTAATGCTTTTTGAGAGCGTAATATTTTGTGGGACCAGCAGATGGCATGGTTGTTAAAATGGCTGGACTTCCTCTCCCTCTCTCTGGTGGATGTATGTGTCCTATATCAAATTTTTAATAAGCAGTTAGCGTAATGGCTATGTCACTGGACTCCCACGTAGTAAACCGCGGTTTGCGTCCCAGATCTGGTGGCTTAAAACTCACACCGGGCGCGTGTGTGTACGTGCCCAAGATCCCGAGAGGAGAACGGAGGAGAAGGGATTGTGGTATGGCCATCCCTCCTGGGGGGGGATTTCTCGCTTTCTGTCTCTCTGTCTCTCTCTGTCTGTCTGGCGAGCGCACGCGCCCTATAGCAAAAACCTCTCAAAAAATTTTTTTAATAATAATAAAAGTTAATAAGTGGGGGGTGGGGTGAGGGTGGGTCAAGGGATTATGAGCAATGGTCAGCCTTCTCGAGCTGCTTCATGCTGAGAAGGGGTGTTTTCCTTCAGGAAGATGGGGTGAAGAGGTCCTCCAGAGACAGGCATCCATATCATACCCTGCAGAGGAGCAAGATGTTCTCAACCTGTGTTGGAGTCAGTGGTGGGATGGTGTCTCAGATGAAGTGGATTACATGTTAGGAGTGGAGGTCCTGCAGAAACTAGAAGAGGCATGTCGGTAGAGGCAGGCAGGGAAAGGTAAAGCAGAACTCTTCTTACAGAAAGAGGCAGAGGCCCCTTGTCTGCTCCAACAGTGTCCAGGCCTTTTTGGTTTGGGAGAATTACCGTGGCCCTGGAGTCTACTTGGTCTCGAATCTGTAGGAGACTTTGGTGTATTTCACCTAGGTTTGTTGTAGGTCAGAGCAAAGAGTTTTGAAGTAGTGAAGAGATGTAGCCATGTTTCCTGTCCCTATGCCTCTCCCCATAGAAATTCCCAGGTCTGCTGGGGCATCATTTGGAGCACCCTCCTTTTTCAGTGAGACCGTTCTGCCATTACGGAGACTGGGAGGCCTTAGTCTTTGGGGATTATGTTCAGATCGGGGCAGGGAGAAACAAGGAATGTTCCGGTGCAGTTAGTCGGTAAACATGGGTAAATAGAGGAGCCAGTCAGATAACAGGCCCGTGTCACAAAGACAGGTTGAAACGCAAAGAGAGAATAGATGTTTCGGGACTTGATTACTTCTTTTTTTTTAGATGTATTCTATTCAACCTCATTTGTTTATTTATGCATTCATTTTAATTTGACTAGTGTATATTGTGTGTGTGAGAAAAAGAGAGAGAGAGAGAAAGCAAGCTGCCAGGTCCAGGACTCAAACTGCAGTTGACCATGTGGGAGACCAGCGCCGTTAACCACCATGCTACCTACCAGCCCCTCAGGACTTGGATTTCTGCCCTCTAGTTCTCTTTCCCAAACTCTTAGTATTTGTTAAAGTAGCTTTGGTGATGGGGACCAGCAGATGGCATAGCAGTTAAATCGCTGGACTCCCACATAGTTGACTATGGTTCGAGTCCTGGACCCAGCAAGTTAAAACTCACACCAGACTGGTGTGTGTGTGTATGCCCAGGATTCCAAGAGGAGAATGGAGAAGGGATTGCAGCATGGTCATCCCCCTAGGGGGTAATTTTTTTACTTTTTGTCTCTCTGTCTCTCTGGCAAGCATACACACCCTATAGCAAAAATCTCTCTTAAAAAAAAAAAGTAGCTTCAGTGAGAAGCTAGATAGGTAGTAGGTTTTGTGAAATAGAACTTCCTCCTGATATAACAGTAGTGGCAGTTTTTATAAGAGTATCTCAGGCCTTTTGAGCCATTCTTTCTTGATCTGCTCAGATCCACTCCTACCTCTCGGAAGTGTACTTTCACTTTTACTTAATAAACTACCTTAAAAAAATAAAGAATATTTCAGGTTAATAGAGGGTAAAGACAATCTGGCATAACAAGAAAACTAAAAGGTTAAGTAAGGATTGTGAAGTAGCAGTTGGAGGAGGCCCTCCCTGGTGGTTCTAACCATTAGGCTTTAGTGACAGCCTGAAGGAGGTCACCCAGGGCCACTCCTGACCCCTGCATGAGCTTTTAGAATTTTTTTTTTTTAAATATCGAGCATATATAAAATCCTTTCACAAAAATACTGTCATAATTCTTTTTTTATATAAATTTTTAAAAGAATTATTTATTTAATTTTATCTTTGTATAATTATTCTTCAATTTGACCCTAGAGAGAGAGAGAGAAAGGGAGAATGAGAAAATAAGCCACCAGGTTTAAGATTTGAACTATGGTTGGCCATTTGAGAGTCCAGCACTTTAACCACCATGCCACATCCTGGCCCTTCATAATTCTTTATAATTCCTTCTCAGACCCTTTTCTAATATAACTCAAACTTTTTTTTTTTGGAGAGGTTTTTGCTATAGGATGCGTGCGCTCGCCAGACAGACAGAGACAGAGAGAAAGAAAGTGAGAAATCACCCCCCAGGGGGAATGGTCACGCCTCAATCCCTTCTCCATTCTCCTCTCGGGATCTTGGGCACGCATGCACACGTGCCCGGTGTGAGTTTTAAGCCACTGGGTCCGGGATGTGAACCGTGGTCGACTACATGGGAGTCCAGCGACATAGCCATTATGCTAACTGCTAGTTCCCATAACTCAAACTTTTAATAACGTGCTTTAAGACATTTACTTTTTTTCTCTTCTTTTCTTTTACCTTAGTCATTTTACCTTAAGAAACTTTACCACACATGGGACCAGCATTTGGCATGTGGCTATGTTGCTGGACTCCCATGTAGTCGACTGTGGTTTGAGTCCCAGACCCAGTGGCTTAAACTCACACTGGGTGCGTGTGCATGTGTCCCCAAGATCCCGAGAGGAGAGTGGAGGAGAAGGGATTGCAGCATGGCCATCCCCCCTGAGGGGTGATTTCTCACTTTCTGTCTCTGTCTCTCTCTGTCTTTCTGGCGAGCTCATGTCCCCTATAGCAAAAACCTCTCCCAAAAAAACTTTACCACATGAAATTCCTTCTATATCAAAATCTCTTTTTTTAAAGAATTATTTCATATAACTTTATTTATGTATCTGTTTATTTATTTATTCATTCAAATTTGACCAGAGAGGGACAGAGTGAGAGAGTGAGAGAGAGAAGAAAAGCGAGAAAGCAAGCCACCAGGTATGTGACTTGAACCACGGTTGGCTATGTGGGAGTCCAGTGCCCCCAACCAACACGCCACCTGCTGGCTTCCAAAATCTTCTCTTTTAACAAAAATATATTTTCATAATTGTAACCTTTATATGTCTCTCTTTCCTGTTTACTATTATTTTTTCCTCCTTTTTTCTCTTAGGAGTTTACTTTCAGAAATAACCTTAACCTCTGATTCAGACAAACATTATCTTAAAGAGCATGTTCTTATTTGTCAGCTTAAGGGTTACTAGAGGCTCATCAGATGAGACTTCTAGATGCCCACAGGGAGCTACTGAGGTCTTGGGCCCCATCAATCCTCATTTTTTTTTTTTTTTTTTGAGAGATTTTCACTATAGGGCACGTGCGCTCGCCAGACAGACAGAGAGACATAGAGACAGAAAGCGAGAAATCACCCCCAGGGGGGATGGTCACACTGCAATCTCTTCTCCTCCATTCTCCTCTCGGGATCTTGGGCACGCACGCACACGCGCCCGGTGTGAGTTTTAAGCCACTGGGTCCGGGACGTGAACCGCGGTCGACTATGTGGGAGTCTAGTGACATAGTCATTACGCTAACTGCTGGTTCCTGATCCTCATTTTTTTTTTTTCTTTAGTCACATAAAGTGTAACATTTCTGGCTGGGTCATAGTGGTGCATACTTTTTTTTTTGGGAGAGATTTTCGCTATAGGGTGCGTGCGCTCGCCAGACAGACAGAGAGAGACAGAGAGACAGAAAGTGAGAAATCACCCCCCAGGGGTCATGGTCACGCCGCAATCGCTTCTCCTCCATTCTCCTCTCAGGATCTTGGGCATGCACACACATGTGCCTGGCGTGAGTTTTAAGCCACCGCGTCCGGGATGCGAACCGCAGTCGACTACGTGGGAGTCTAGCGACATAGCCGTTACTCTAACTGCTGGTTCCCAATCCTCATTTTTTTAGGCCATGATGACTGCAGAGTCTCAGGCTCCCTTTGGAGCCCCAGCCATTTCTGTCTTCAGTGGCCAACTCCTTCACGTTGGGGACAAGGCATCAGTGGGGACAGGAGGATGCCAGTTTTGGGCACTGATCGTTTCAGTGCCCAGATTTCCCACATTGGTAACATCTGGAGTTTTCCCAAGCCAGAGGCACTGAACTGGGCTTTTCAGATCTGGCCCTCAGGTAGAATTTAAGTTCCCCAGCCTTCAGGATTACCCTGAGTAACTTGGGTGCTAAATAAAGTTAAGTCACAAGTTAAGGTAAATTGCCGATTTCTGATAGCACTTTTCTGAGTTATCTAAGAATTTTCCTAGCTCTGCTCTGATCTGTGAGCAAGACCCTGCACTGAGAAAACCCGAACTTGAATGGGTCCTGTTGGCCTGCTTACTCCCTGCAAAGGCAGAGCTCAGGCAGTAGGCTCCTGGGCCTCAGGCCAGGCCGAACAGGGCCTGGGGTGTTAAAGGCAGGG